TCTCTGAGGAATGCTTCCAGCACCTTGTTGAATCTATGCCACGAAGAATTGAGGCAGTTCTGAAGGCAAAAGGGGGTCCAACCTGTTACTAGCGTGGTGTACCTAATAAAGTGGCCGGTGAGTGTATATCAATGGTTAAAAGTCGTTATCTGTTCTTTTCTATCCCAAAATATTAAGAATTACAGTGAAACACATGAGTTTCTGCTCACCTTTGGCTTAACTGAAGCGCTGCTGCTGGTGGAATCTGCTGCAAAGGAATAAGGATGGACATTAGAATCACATCCAGTCCTGATCAGTCAAACACAGGAAGTTCAACCTGCAGTAAACTAGCTACAGTTTGGTTTCAGTAAGACACAGGGCTGACAACACAGGTTGAAAAACACATGCTACTCAGAACAACTAGATCCAGAACAAACAAAGAAGAAGGAAGACCTGGTCCTACCCAAGAGGCCGATCCAGAGTCTCAGCTAGAGACAAGCAGCACAACAAAAGTCCAGAAAAACACAAAGTGAGTATCAACAGGCAGGTACACAACTGAGAGAAAGTACAGGAGAACTGTGAGGAGGAAGTGTCCCTCGTATACAGATTCCTACAGAGAGCCTGTCCAGACTGAGAAACAGGAAGCAGAAATTTCATCTTCATTTTATCCCTCGAACATGTTCGAAATCAAAACAGAAAACTGAAAATGGATGTTTTTGTTCCAGCATCAGATCTCTGCAGGGCTGACTCCAGGAAGGTCCTGTACTAACCCTAACCCTGGTCCAGCTAACCTGGACTTTCCTTCTGTTCTCCATGACTGAACTGCTGCATCTCCTCCAGGTTAGGAGGCCAGGGCTCTACACTAACTTTGTTCTTTAGGTGCACCAGTACTAAAGTTAGGTGCACCCAAATTTGTAAATGCATCACATTTAACATTGATGTTTTAATGGTTCACCTTTTAAAATTATTGTCCATTAAAGCAATTTTAACTCACAAATAATTTGTTAACAATCCAGCAAAATAAAGTTCTATATTTGAACCAGAATCATAAGTCGCATTTCCACTGCAAATGTGAGCAAAACTTTGTCGATATTCTGTTAATGTTGAAAAAACATAGTTTCGCAATGTTGATGCACAACTGCAGTGTTTCCATTAAGTAAGAAATGCTATTAAAGTCACATGAATACGTTTGTTCTCATGATAAGTCGTTACAAACATGGCAGCGATGGATGTAAACACATAGCATGTTGCTACCACGACACTAGCGCTCATCATCAGAGGAGACGTCGGCGTCTTTTATCGAGGCTT